CATCACCAAATCCTTTTTAAACTAGTCTGCTACAGTTTCTTTGTTTTCGTTGGTAAATAGCCTTGGAATAGCAGCATGCCAAGAGCCAAACATACTGGCAAGAACTCATACTTAGGAGTATAAATATATGTATGTTTGTATGTCTGTTCATTGCATTTGTTGTGCTTGGATGACAAAAAGAAAATATACATACACAGTCTGCAGGAGTTGGTGGTGGTGCTGAAAAATTGTGCACTTGTTTGTTTGTCAACCAAAATCCTTTGCAGTCCTTTGTGGCCTCGCCTGCCTGCATATGTTGTCAACGCTAATCAAGCGCACATATGATAAACAGACCGACGCTATGAAAACAGCAACAACAATAGCAACAGCAACAACAACAACAACAAAAGTGGCTCTATCCTTGCAAACTTATGCAATTGTATTTGTTTAGCCAGGCAGCGGATTGCCAGCCTCTACTTACGAGCCAGCCGCCTGAGGCGTCAGCTTATGCCTGCAGGCCATGGCTGCTTCCTCATCTTGGACTCCTCGTCCTCCGGCTTGTCATCGGCAACGTTTCCAACTGCGGGTCTGGGCCAGTTAGTTGCATTGTTTGCATTGCTGCATTTCTTTCTTTCGCCCTTCCCCCGCCGTCCCTCGCCCTCGCCGTTGCGCTTGATATCTTGTCCTTTTGTTGTGGCAGGCTCAAAACTTTCTGCACAATTTCACAGGCATTTCAGCTCATTCTTTATCTGCACACGCACACGCACACGCATTCAACTGTGCTTGTATGTAGGTATGATTGTGAGTAGTTGGTGCGTTTCATGCCCTTTGATTGATTTATGTTATGTAATGGCATTAAAATTATATGCAAATTTTAACATTCAACATCCAACATTTCTGCAGAATTTATTCTCTGCCTCTGCAGTCCTTTCTTGGGAATGCCTTTGAAGCAGAAAGTTGGTCTTGAGACGTTTTTACATGCAGACACACATACACACATACAAAGCTGACATAGTATAAACTACTAACTACAGTAACATTTTATTATGTCACTATGTCACACACACACACACACACATACACACGCTCCGGGAGACACACGCACACACATACACACACCAGTTGACATGTTGACATGCTAAAGAGCGTGTAAGTGAAGTGTGATGGAGGCATGGAGATAAGCACTGAGGAAACCAAAGTATGTAGTCAGGCATTGTTTCTGCCACAGCTTCCTGGCTCTATAGTATACTTTTTAGTTACTTGGCAAAAAGAATAATAGCTACAACAACAAATACTACAACTACTACTACTATAACAAAGCGTACAACTTTTTCTAGGCACGCCTCGCTCGCACACTTTGGCGTTTTAAAACCTGAGCTTGATGTCTGCGCAAGATGGAATTTTTAATGAATTTACTTTTAGTTTTCTATCTACAACCACATGCACATACACATGCACATGCACACTTGTGAGAATGACAGCATCTCTACATATTTTCTTAGAAAATATATTAAAACTGGGGAAGCTTATGGCTGAACAAAGTGAAAGGTGTAAATTTGTTTATAAAAGGCGACTTCTGCTTCAGCAGTTTAGCTTTTTATGCTATTAAGTAACTGGCTTGATGATGTACAAGATAAACAATGACAGCAGACAGGAGACCGAAGACAGGACCATGTTGTCGAGCATGGATATTCATAGACTCCGGGGCACACTCAATATACTCGCAGGTATTGCTGCAATACGCTTCACTGAAATTGAACAGGACAACTCAAGTGATGTGTATTTAATTTGCATTGTAACAGGAGCATATCGTACTAAGGTGTCTTTAGAGAAATAAAATATTAGATATATATACGTATCTATTCAAATATGTCTTTGCGCAGCAATAATACAACTTTTGTTAAATACTCTAAAGACAGAGTTCTTCGAAAAACTAAACATTATTGACAATTTGTAAGTTGCATTGGTGCTGCGAACTTAAATCGATTGACATGATTAGTAAGGAGTTTGAAAAGCTGTCTTGTGCTTAAATCAGATTTTAATTAACTGGTTTGCAGAATATATAGATATAAATCGAGTGATTCAAGATATGGAAAATGCATTAATAACAATATAAGCCCCAACTACCAGAACAATGAACAGAGCTCCCTATCGCCTGTTTCGTGTTTCATTGTACGTGTTTGTTTGTTTCTTTCGTTTATTTTGGTTAATTAATATTGAATAATTAGTAAATAAAGTGACGTGAAAATGATATCAGCACCAATTAAACTTGTTGTAATCAAAAAGTAATTTAAATGTAACTGTCACCCAATTATCCTTTTATTTATTAGCTGCAATGTCTACCTATGTTTGGTGTCCCTGATGTATTGTCATCAATTGCAGTAATTAAGTGCAATTAAATAATGCCAACTCGTTTAAATCATAAGCATAAATTAAACCCGTCTATATGCCAATGTCTTTTCTTTATTATGATTTCCTAAGCGAAGCAACTCAACTTCCTTTCAAAAGTTACAGCGGTTTTTTTCCAAAAACCCATTTCCCCCCATCCAAGACAGCGTCATAAATCTAAACTACAATCTTCGAAAAGCGCCCAACTTAAACTTATGTTTAAGTTTAAATTAGTCGAAAGCTAATTAACGATAAGCGTTCAGGGCTCAGCGTTGGGCGATGCCGTTTCGCGTTTGCCGTTTAACGTTTGTCTGGCCTCCGGCTTGAAGCGCACAAAGTTTTCGAGAAACTTTTAATGCATTATCGAATGACTTTGGCCCAGACTTGGTGTAAGTGCTTATTATCGAGGCATCTATTTCAATTTCCTGCAGCAATTAGAGGCGCACGTGAAAAGCTAGTTGGAAAATGACGTACTTTCTTTGAAACTCAATCCAACGAATACGACGATGGCGTCGCCTTTTCCGACGCCCACATAGTCTGACCTTTTGGCTCATGCGGTTCAAAGGCGACTGTTTGACTTGTGTTGCACGTTGGCGTGCTGCTCATTTCAAGCGACCAGGGGAAATTGTACTCGATTTTCCCGGGAGTCAACAAGCGAGAGCGCACAAGCGCTCGGAAAAATCGCACTACTCGAGCACGAAAATTTCCCAATTTGAGTGAAAGAGAGCGAGAGCGAGAGAGAGAGTTCAGCTTTCGAATGTGGCATGAGTGGCAAGTCGAAAAACCGGTTTTGAGTGTCTTTGCTTTGTTTCTGTGAGCGAGCATGTGGCATGTTAAGAAATGCATTGTTCCACTTTTTAAAGAAGAAGCATACTTGGCACGTTTTTTTGGTCAGCCAACCAACCAACCTACTGAGCTCTAGCTCTGGTGCCTCGAGTTTATGGTCAGCTTGCCGTTAAGCATGGCTCGAAATGAAGCGTGTCGTGTTCGTGCTGTTTTCCTCTGGCAAAGGGCAGCCGGCAGCACACTCAGCATCCACAGCAGTCGGCAGAGCAGCGCTGCGACAGAGTTCTGCCCCCAGGGACCCATAATGGGGCAGAGATTTCAGTTGTAGTTGCAGTTTTTTGGGGGCCAACACTTTGGGGCTATCTTAATTCTGGCATGAAATACGCGCATTTAGATAAGCTGTTAAATGGCTTAACTTTCAACTTGCCATCATTATGACTAACTCAGTAAAATAGATAATTGGGACAGGCATGCCGATGTCTACAAGTACACTAAGACTCATTCATTACTAACATACAAGTATGTAGTAAATAGAAACCTCTAAGAATATAGGACGATTGTATACATAAATAAGGCATAGCCATGTGAATACTTCAAACTAAATCTATTACTAATGAGAAGATCAAACATGCTGGTGAACTCAGTATTTAGCACTTCTCCAGAGTGTCTTATGCTCCAGTTCGTTGATCCAATACCATTTAGCACCAAACTGTCACTCAGAGATTCCCGGAATTCGCAGTCGACTAATAAATAGTTGATCATTTTACTGCTGATAATCGACTATACTAGTCAGTACTAGTGGGTACAATTATTGAATGCCAGCGGTCCTTTTAGAAGTTTAATTACTATTAACAACCGTAGAGAAGTAAAAAAAACATGACACTTAAGGAGTATCTAATTAAATGAAATGTTTCAAACTAATGACACGACTGGTTTTAAAATAATTCAGTACATAAATTTCTAAAAATATTTCTAAAGAAGTACTTAAACTTTTCGTATTTCTTTAAAATTATATATTTTTGAGCTTTCAAACCAGCAACAATTCGTAACTTTTTAAGTTTCGTTTTAAGAATTTCTTTTACAAATAGAAGCACAATAATTTCGGTGTTTTTGTTGACTCAGGCTTTGTGTCACGAATGGCCCGGAACACAAAAGAAAAACTATGTAGCATAAATCCATAATGCGGCGTAACGAAGCAAGCTCAAGTTTATCGAATGCTCGCCTCATTATGTGTGCAAAAAGAACTTTGTGTTGAAATTCGGTCGAGATGAAAAACAAAGGAAAACTTTAAAGGAAAATGCGTCAATTGAACGTGACTTCAGTTTTTGTTATTTTTTGCATGCCACGAAGTTGAAGTTTCCGTTTCAAAAGCCTCTGTGTGTCGGGTCCCGGCGACACATTGGTCAGAAACTGGGTCAGCGTCAGAGCAGGACGATGAAGACGATGAGAACGTTGAAAATTTAAGAAAAAGCATATTGAAATTGTTCTTATGTTTAAGCAGCAGGCGCAAGGATGCGCTAAAGCCACCAACACGTGACCGGAGCAACAACATGCCTTGAGACCATTTGAGTCAAATGAATGAGTGAGTGAATGAGTTAGTGAGTGTTGAAAATTTCCCACCACATGTCTTCATACTCAGCTGGCTGGCTGGCTGACTGGCTGGTCGTCCGTTTCGTCGCTTCGTCGCAACTCGAGGCGGGCGGCGCATGCAACAAACGGCCAGTTAGTCAACAACGAACTGTCGAAGCGAACGGACGCAGATCGCGCACCAAATCGCAGTCAGAAATATATATACGCGCACATATATGTACGTATATTTGCGTGTCTTCGTCGTCTTTGTTGGTGGGAGCGTCACGCGTGTGTTCAAGTGTCAGAGTGCTTCACCAAAAATAAACAAATCAAAAAATAAATAAGAGAAGTAACGAAAACGAAAATCAAAAGTTAAATAAAAAGGAAAACCCAAAAAATGTCGCCAATTCTCTTGACAACAACGACACAAGCAGCCACAGCCACAGTCACTGAGGATTATGCTGCAATGGAAACAACAACGTTGGCATCCTCAACATCTGAGCTCTATGCCGACTATATTGCCGCACCGGCTAGCAGCATGAGTCCTGCAGCCATTGCGGAGCACATGCAACAAAACCAAATCACCTTTGAGATACCCACGGCCCACGATCTCCGACACATTGATGCCCTCCACTCGTTCAATGCACTGTTGCAGCGCATCGGCAATGCAGTGGCCTACGACACATCCTCGTCGCTATCATCGGCCGGTGGACATGTGCCCTGGTCCCATGACTCCACAATTACCACCGAACAGCTGTCGAAATCAGTGGTCCTCGATCTGGCCGACTTGCGTGAGCATAATGCCAGCTCCAGTGACTCATCATCAGGCTCGTCCTGGGAGCAAATCTTCGGCGATGCGGACATGCACGCCATTATTAACTATCTGTGGATTGGTGTGGTCACATCTCTGGTGGTGCTGTCCCTCATCTTTATAGTGTTCAGCTGTTACTTCTATCGCAAGTTTCGCACATGGAAAAAATGCAGTAAGTACTAGTGGTTATACGAAACATTTATATATTTTCCCTTTTCGACACACACGCACACACACTGTTATGACTTTAATAAAAATGTGCGGCCTTATCAACGGCAATTTATCCAGCTGTTGTCTGCAACAGTCTGTCTGTGTTTTTGTGGCCCGCTTTACGCCTTTAGCCCGGCTAAACAATATAAAATGCAGAGCCCCAAAAGCCGTTCCCTGCTCTCCACCAGTTAGCAGCCAGCAGCCAACCAACTGCCAAACTGCCAACTGGATCGTAAATTTTTGCGCGCGCCTCGCAAATGTCAGCGTAACGCCGCATTGCGTGCCATCTCATGGCGTTGTAATTTTAGATACACAAGTTTATTATGCCACAAAATATATGTGCAGCATATTTATAATATTAAATTGACTTGGCCTCTGGCAGCAGTCCACAAACCCCATCCCGACCATTCATTTTATGCGTGCGATAATGTAGCGTAAAATGCTTTGAATTTGTTGTCGGATTGTTCCGAAAATTCCTGGCCAAAACGAATTCGTAATTGATGGGCAAGAAGCTGAAAAGTTTTGCACAGACGACCACCAAATGAATTAGAATAAAGGATAAATGTCATATTTAAAGCTTAAAAGCTGAATTATTAAAATTATTTAAAGAACTGTTCTCTAATCAACGAATATCTTTGTGTATAACGATAACTAATTCCAGACGCATTTTCAAAACTAGAATATACTCCTACATATGTAGTTGATTCTACTAAGCAGCCTACTCACTAATATATGCGACTAATTAACTCCTCTGCCCTTTTAAAGCATTTCTAAAATTTTTAGTGCAACTTTGCCGAGAACAAAGAAAATCTTGAATCACCACATTGCTGCTAGAAAGCAAACTTCCTTACGACACAGACACTCCCCCGCACTAAACACTTAGCTGCTGAAAAGCTGTAGCTCCTAAATCAACTAGTTGGCCAAAAGAAAGGTTTACTGTAAGAGTTGAGCAACATAAATGTTAACGAAACCAACAAGAATACAATACAAAAAAAAATAAAAAGTAGGAAAAACCTGTTGCTGTTTGCACAAAAACTACACAAAGTGTGCGTTGTAAGCCCCAGAAGCAAATCTTAAAATAAATCATATGCTTGGCCACTTTACACATAATTACGGGCACAAAACACACACACACACACCCACACACAAGCAAGAGACAGACGCAGTCATGCAGGACACGCTTGTAGTTTAGCCACAACAAGCTTGCAGCTTTGCCAGCAACAATAACAACAGCAGAAGCAGAAGTAGTAGCAGCAGCGGCAGCAGCAAGTACAACAACAACAGCAAGTCTCAACTCAAGTGTCAAACTTTTTACAGACCAATTTAGCCAAATGATTTATTTAGGCCAAAAGCAAAGTAAAAATGTTGTATAGCTCTGCGCATTAAAGTCTTCGTTCGTTCGTTCGTTCGTTTGTTTGTTAGTCAACTGTTGTTGTTGTTGTTGTTGTTGTACTTGTTGTTGGTGCAATGCGCAAAAGTACGGCTAACTCAACTGTCAAACTGTCAATTTTGTGCTAACGAGCCTTAAAAACTTTTACCCATCATTACATGTGAGCTTCTGTTGTCGTTGCTGTTGTTTTTGTTGCTGCTCTTGTTGGCTCTTTTGGGGTCGTAGTACTACGTAAAATATCAATTTCGGCGTAAAACGTACAATATGTGTAGCATGCTTTTGGGCGTGTGCGTCTAATTAGTTTCGTTAGCTGTTGCTGCTTTGCTTCGTTTTTTTATCGTTTTTTTTTTCCTTTCTATTTGGTTGGTTTGGCCTGCGGCCTAGCCTATATTGATAGTTGTAGTTGCCAGGCTGCCTTTTCTACCTGTACGAGTGTACGTAAGTGAGTGTGTGTCTGTGTGTGTGTGTGTCTATCTGTCTGTTTGCTGGTGTACGTGTGTCATTTATAATTACGCAACTTGGCTTAAGTTTTAGTAGCACGCTTTTATGCGTTTAATGCGCGCTACGTGTGTGTCTTCTTGTATGTGTGTGTGTGTGTATGTGTGTATGTGTGTGTGTGCGTGTGGTCTGTTTACCTTATAAATGCTTAACGAGGCTGTGTTGGTGCCATAGCCTACAGTTTATTTATTAAACTGTCGCACAAGCAGCCAAGCAAACACACAGAGACTCGCACTCGCACTCACACACGCACTTAACATAGTTACCGCAAACCTGCAGTTCCTAAAAGTTGAAAATTTTCACCTTTCTACACTGGCCACCACTCGTTAAGTTTTATAACATATTTATTGCAGTATATATTTTTATAATTATTTCTCAAACACTCTTCCTTACTGAAAACAAATCTAGTAGTTTTAAAACATTTATTGCAGTAGATGACTTTATATTTATTTATGAAATCATTTTCCTTACTGAAGACTGATCTAGAAAAAAATATCTGTTTTAAAATATATTTTCAACAAGTCTTCTCTTCAGTTTCAAGTTGAAAGCAAGAAAGACTGTTTTAAATAATCAAAACATTTTTAATTGTACTATTTAAGTCATTTGAACCAAAAGGATAGCATGTCGGTGCTAGTTTGAAAGTACTGCAGGGTAGTTACTCGGACAAACTTTGGCAGCAGAGCCGGTGCGGTGCCTCAGCTTGTTATCAATTAGTGCAGCATACAACTGAATTTATTAACAGATACACACACTCAGACACACACACACACACACACACACTGGAAATCCTCTACGAGTATGTCTGCCATAGCCAGGCTTGTAAATTAAGGCAGTTGGCCAGCATCACCATCTTCTTGGCATGCGCCATGCTGGTGTCTCTGCCACTGTTTATTATGTTGTATAGGTTCTGCATAATTTAGTTGCGTAAAAATGTAATTAAGCGTAGCATATTTGCCTTGGCCAGAAAAACCGAGCAGCAAGAGCAAACTTTGTGCTCAAGTTTCTGTTAGCCGCTTGGTCTTTTCAATTTTTAATGGCTTTTTGCCGAGCTGGTCAAAATGCTGCTGGCGATGTTTTCGGTTTGCCTCACTAGCTAGCTACATTTTCACATATTTTTAAATGTTTTTTTTTTTTTTTTTTGTATTTTCTAGCTTTTAGTTTTTAGTTTGCCAAACCGTAATTGAGTGTTGCAATTAACAAGAGTGTTTTGTTTTTACCCAAATAGAGTTAAGTGTGGCAGAGATGCTTGGGGCGCTGAATTTGACTCTGTCAGAATTGTAATAACCAAGATTTGAAAATGAGTTTTATGCACCGGACTCTGCTTGGAATTTGTTGTCTAGCTTACTCAAAAATAAATAAATCACAAAGCCGATTGCAATGGAAGAATAATAAAAAATTCTTACCTTAGAAGATTTTGTAGCCAACTTCTACTGTAATTTGAAAATATTTCACAGCGCTAGTGCGTGGCATTGTCTTTTGTTGCTGTTGCTGTTCTTTCTTTGCCCCGTGGCTGATGTCGGCAACTGTTTTCGTTATGAGTTTCAATTTAATTACAAACGCTAATTTCAGCAGCTGCTTTTGTGCCTCGTTCTGCCGGCAGGTAATTAAAGCAACATGAATGGTAGTGTGAACTAGAAATGAGCCTCGGCTCTTTAATAATCATTTTAAATTGCTCGTCTCTGCCTGCCCATACACGCTAATCAATTAATTGAAAATCCCGCTGAAGTTGCTCAATCATCGACATATCGAAATGAAATCAACTCATGTGCACGCGCCCGATATCAATACAAATAATGGGTTGCAGACACCTGATCTATGAGGAGATGGAGAGGAGTTCGTCGCTGGGCGCGTTAAAAAATTAACAGACATTTATGAAAAATGACAAAATGAATAAAACGAAAAAATGTTGCAGTCGGCAATGAATTTAAATTGTTGCATATATTTGGTCGGGTTGCACATGCGACCAAACAAAAGGCAACAAATGGCGTGCTAATTTTTTTCCACACACAGATCCCTTCCCTGCTTTGCTTCCTCAGTCTCCTGCACTGTTGCTCTGGCACTCCATGCAAGTCCACATACATACTTCAGTGAGTTGCTGCAGTCAGCAACTGTAAAGGACGACAGTCACTATTTTTTTTGCCTTTGCCTTTTTTTACTGACTCCAGACAACCCTGCAAACATTTTCCCTTACAGAAGTTCAAATGTAATTTGGATTAACTGCAGAATTCCAGAATTGTAAAATGAAGTTTATATTCTTGATGAGATTTGCATTTGAAAAACATCTCTCTAACTAGAAGCTACTTAGATCTCTATAAGAAATATATAGAAATGGTGTCATTAGCTTTTAGAAATAATCAATTCAGCTGTAAAGTAAATTTACTCAGTTTATTCTTTCAATCATCTATGAAATTTAGATGCTCCCCAAAATGTTTCCAGGGTACACTCGTTTTCGAATGCTTGTATGTGTGCTTGTGTGTGTATGTGTGTGTATTTTCCTGCATTACATAAAATATGAAGCCCGCAGCATGTGTGTGTGTGCCTGCACTTGCCTTGCCGGCAGTTGCCTGTCTATCAAAAATGAAACAAAAGTCAAATGGGCGTCCAGCTGCCCAAATATATGTGCTACAGTTATAATAATAAATCAACAACTGCTGCCAACAGGGCTGCTGTTGCTGCTGCTGCTGCTGCTGCTGCTGCTTCTGCTGCTTCTGCTGCTACTGTGTTTTAATATTGTAATGCGCAAATTTTTCAACAGGCTCAGCCACTACCACCCCCCTTCCTCGGCTTTCAGTTGCCGGTTTTTAATTGAAAAGCATTTGTGCATATTTGCACATGCAATTTCTAGTGTGCAACAGAAAAACATAAACGTTCGCATAAAAATTGCATATAAAAAATCTTGCAGTATTTGTTTATGAGTGTGTGGACATTTTTTATATCGTTTGAGCATCAAATTAAATTAAATAAAATAAAGCCCACGTTTATTTATTAAATGCAGTTTAAATTGCATTTAATAACAACACAAAATGCTCTCATGTCGCAACTGTGATTTCAAATTCATTTTTACCTGAAAAACGCGATATTTGTTTTAGAAAAAGAACATCAAATCATGTTATGAAATATGAATACTTGTAATTCTTAAATTCATATTGTATGCTTTTTATTCATTTGATTAAAATCCAAAATATGTTGTAAATATTTAAAAACCATGAGTAAAATAAAGTAAGCAGAACACTTTCAATAAATGCTGAAAAAAATTCACATTTTTAATGGTCAATAAAACAAATGTAATATAACATATATTAACTTTTATGCAATCAATCTATTATTGAAGCTTTCCTATGAGTTCGAATGATTATTTTAAAACGTTTTCAATTATTTTCTGAACTTAATTCAGAAGTAATATACAAATCAAATTCTCTTTTATTTTCAACACTTACATAGTCTTTCATTTATTGTTGGTTTATTTATTTTTGTCACTCTACCAAGTTAAATTGAATTTTAATTGTTGTGCTTTTGTTGCTCGCAATTATCTATCCCCAGAATGGAATTTGTTTTGTCTGCCGGCACCATTTTGCAATTTTCATGTTAATTTAATTTAGTTTAAAATTACATTTTTCAGTGCCTTGCACATGTTGCACACCGCCAGCCATAATACAACGCAGGCACATTCACAATTGAAAACACACACACACACACACATGCAGAGAGAGAAAGAGAGAGAAACACGGCCGCACACATTCAGATGCAGACGAGTGTGTCGCTCGCTTTTATTTCATTTCATTTTTGCATACATACTCGTACTCCTACCTACTACTATTTTATTTTATTCCATTCCATTCCATTTTTTGCCATACGCGCACTTCCTGTGCGTTATTGCTGGCGGTGTTGTTGTTGCTGCGGGCATTGCTGACGGCTGGCTCTAGAATTTAAGTGTTGTTGCTGTCTCTGCTGCGACCCCAGTCAGACGCGTTTCCGGTCAGCACAAAAGTTGTGCATGTTTGCGCTTTTCTTCAGCCTTGCTGCTGTTGATCGCCAGCTTTTTATGCCTTTTCAATATGGCCATGTCAGAAGTTCAAGCGTGTGCTTGGCGCCCTTTACGCTAAATTGAATTTAATGTGAAAATGCGAGCCGGGACGCGCCTCGCCGCCTTCTGGCAATTTGCACTTTGACAATGAACGAACTAACTTGATGTCATGCTTCGCTCTCTCCCTCTCTCTCTGTCTCTCTCTTTGGTCCTTTGCTGTGCTGCTAACAAGTCCCCTTTGTGAGGCTAACAAAAAACATATAATGAGACACTCAACAAAGCACAAGAGTTGTCAAACTTTTGACAGTTGTTGGCCATGCTTGATTGAAGGCAGCGAAGGGAGGGAGCGAGCGAGGCAGAAACTTTGCTGCTGACAGCCACTTAGCAACATGCATTCGAACACTACCAGCCACAAGTATTGCTACAAATCTAAGGTTCTTAGAAATAGTGAAAGGGTAAAATATATAATATTAAATTGGTGTTCATAAAATTCATCTCTGTATGCCTTTCTTAGACTAACACCAAGGCTTTGGTTAAATTCTACATAAAAGTTAACAGTGTGTAAATACATTTAGCGTTTAGTGTACGTTTTATTTCCTACAATCACTACAATGCATTCTCTTTTTATTTGTTCCACTTGCAGATAAGGACATACGTGCACAAATACATGGCTCTGACTCCTCCTATTCCTCGCACCTGGTCAGCTGTGACAGGAGTCTGCTGCAGCCCACAGTGGCGGGAGCTAGCGCAGGTGCTGGTGGTGGCGCTGGAGGACTGGGAAATGAGGCAGCCTTCTATCAAATCGAATCACCACCATGTTATACAATTGCCACCGGTTTGCCGAGCTACGATGAGGCATTACATCATCAACCGCGCCATTTTGCTTATGGCATGAAATTTATGTATCCCAGCCTGGCAGCCGTGCATCATCATCATCATCATGCGTGCAGTGCAGTGGCCGCCAGCCAGGCAGCCATTTCGAATTGGGAAAAGGACGAACTGCAGCGTCAGAATAAACTGCAAAAGTGCAAACTGTCAACAACAGCGACAGAGATGGTCACAGAGGCGGGGCCGGAGACAGAGACAGGGGGAAAAAGGCCAGCACCCGCTGCCATTTGCATTAACATGCCCACAGACGATGTGGAGCAGCAGTTGAATGGAGGCAGCAGCAGCAGCAGCAGCAGCAGCAGCAGCAACAACAATGTGGTGGGAACAACAACCACAGCGACCAGCAGCCGCAGTCCGATGCAAAGTTTGTTGCCTGCCGCTGCTGCTGACGATGATTGTGCCTCATTGGTTGTTGTTGTTGCCGCGTGATTGCCTACCAACTAAAGTGCCTCATCAGAGGGCATCATCAGGGCGGGCGGGAGATAAAGGGTTTTAGTCACTTTGTATTAAGCGCTTGTAAATACACACACCTACACACACACACACACACTCGCATAGTTGCGTCGTCTGTCTGTCAGTCGCGCTTTTGTCCCAACTGCTGGTTAACTTCGAGACTTAAACTACGTGTTCTCATTAAATGTACGCCGACAACATTAAGTTAAAGTACTAAACTCTCCATCTTCTTCCTCTGCACTGTGTAAATGATTTAATTTTGTTTTTAAATTATTTGTTATTATCGCAAGACTGAGTATTATTATTTATTATGTACTGTATATAGAAATCAGTAATTTAGAAAATGTCTATACATTAAGATTACCTTTTAAGAGAAAGAGAGAGAACTGCAAAAATATAAACAAAACTAATAATCGAAAACTAAACATAAACACCACACTCTTTTTATTTCAAAACTTGATTTATGTTACTTGATTTTTGAAAAGTTCCACTAATTTTTTTCTTTACAACTCCTGAAATTATTCAACACTCTGGGGGTTCTTTCAAAAAACATTGAATTTCAATAAACAATCGTTAATGCAACGATTTTTTCCAATAGGAAAAGCAAATATGTGCAAGCATTCAACAAACAGAGTTCGTCCGCTCGTATTTCCTTTAGTGTGGAATTTCCTTTTTTTTTTAAATATAAGTATATAATATTTGCTTTAAAATTTGAATTATGTGCGACTCTTTTTTTTCCTGATCAAGTTTTGCTCATAGCGTTATAATTTGACAATTTATGAACAAAAAAAAAAAAAAATAGCACAGCTTGTTATCAGCATTTTTACACCATTTTCCCACATATTCTATTCTTCAATATCTTCGAGACCAATGAAAATTATTTGTATGAAATAAGCAGCTCTGCTCAATAAGTAGAAACTCAGATTATCCAATACCATCTAACAGATATTGCATTTTTATCTGCAAGTGTATATTTTCAACATTCGTTTGCTTACGTGTCGTATCCTGCTTATAAATGGTCATATTTTTCCACATTTTTTCACATTTTCCGCTGTAGACTTTCACTGCAAGACTGATTGCACAATTTTTTAATCCTTCAAATGCCTGGGTATAGAACTGTTTGGGTTCTCTGTTCAAATTGTGTACGTGACTGCCACTCTGCCAACCGAGATTAGGTCAATGTTCTGCTGCATTCGAGTTCTCACCGGAACGTGTTTAAGTGAAAGGATTTACGATTTTCCCTGCAGTGCACAATAAGAGCTTTAAAGTGTCCTGTTTTGTGTGGAACAGTTGGAAATCACGATTCATAACAGACAAAGGATAGACAAAACACCTTTCGTATTTTTAGAGAAAAATAAAATAATACCTTAACTGCTTGTAAAATTTCAACAATTCCTAGAATGAAACTAATTGAATATCTTTAATTGTCTATTTTTATTTTGTTTGTCGTCGGCATCTCAAAATCATGGAACTAAGTTACTGAATTCGTAATCACTTAGCATAAACTAGTACTTATTACAAAATGAATAGCTTGTAAAGAAACTACTGCGCAGCTCCTTGGTAACAATAATTGTTATATTCAGGATGCATTCCCAAGTTTGGCATCGAATTTAAACTAATAAAATAAAACAATAGAAGCACCAATTGATAGAGCACATAACTAAAGTTAGGCACAGGCCACGTCTAAATGCTAATCCTTAATGTTGCAGTTACTACGACAGTGGAACTTGGCAAACAAACAAAAGATATGTATAAAGATTATTATATGATACAAATATTTAAATGGAAATTTAAAAGCCTATATAGCTCACAATAAGTAAATATGTCTAATATGAAGAATAAATGCAAAAAGAATTAAAAATTTAATATGCAAAGATACCAAAATGATAATGATTTCTTTTCTATTCCAAATACGATTTAAGAGGTAAGTTTTATGTGATTTGTGTAAATAATTAATGGTCAAAGAAAGTAAAATGAATCATAAGTCATCCCTTTTCTTGAAAATATAAAAAACAAACATGTTCATGCGTGGAATATTTAATAATGTTAATGTTTCATTTGTAAATAACTACGAAACAATTATGTACGTCCGATGTTATGAGTTACATAACACATACAACATTTTTGCGACATCTGCCATAGATCTTCCTACCAAGAAAAGTATCAGATTTGAAAATTTTGGAAAGAGTGCATTAATTTTTCGGAGCTACTATGTCAATCCTTGGCCTTTAAAAATATATATAATTTTATATAGATTTATATTTATTTTTAAAGTATGTATGTCTTAGTAGCTATGGAGAGCAATAGTCCGGCACAATAATTACATTTAAAAGACTTTAATTAGTTGAATTCATAAATTAACTAGCAGTTTTGCTCATCGTGGTTAATTTATCACTAGCGGTAGCAAAAAATTTAATAGAAATAAAATCATGGAGTTATAAAGATGAACAATTGGGGGAAACCAAGATTTATACAATATACAATTTTCTTAATAAGAACGTTCTTTCAATTTGAATTACAATAAGGATGTTTTTCGTTGAAATTATTTCGTTTAAAGCGTAGAAAATGGATTCTAATGTTCGACAATATACCAGTATTCAATTTTGAGGTCGTTAATGTTTCAGAACACTTTAAAATACATTTTAATTGTAAATCAAACATTAAGTTGTTTGCATCGCAAATCATTTGCACGCTAGTTTCCCGATGCATTTGAGCAATTGCTGAGCTAAGGGCAGATATAGTTATAATTAACGATATCCACATGCAATATAAAATGAAAAAACTGATAGAAGAAATTCCAAGGCGACAAGTGCTTATCGAATAATTGGTTTGTTTAAAGACAAGCGCAACGACCTCAAAGTTCAAGTTAAATTATTCAAAGCAAACGTGTTTGCTTGGACATTTGGGAACATCTTTGAATTTGACACAAATCGTTTGTTTAAGGCGTCACGTGCATGTGGCACACAGCAAAACTTTAAAGCTTGTTTAACAATAGCAATGAGTGCGAGTACTCGTACATGCAGCAGCAACAACAACAGCAACAACAACAACAAAAACGCATTGCACATACGCACTGTTGCTCGTTTATTGTTTGTTTTTGAAGTTTTCGTGCGGGCATGGGCATAAATAATTTTCTGTCAAATTTGACACTTTTGTTTAAGCTTTTACGCCTTTAATGCTGCAATTTGTATTCAAATGTACGATTTGTTGATGAGTCGAACCGGCTGCCGAGAGAAAGAGAGAGAGGAAGAGATATAGGGACTATGCCTCTGCACGTTTGCCATCAAACATTCCATAACGATACTAAACGAAACGCAGCTACAACAGACGTGGGTCATAAATTATATTATCGTGCATCGTGTATCTGTATCTGGTTCAGGTCGCAGTCGCAGTCTCTGTCTCAGTCGCAGTCCCCGTCACAGTCACAGTTAGAGGCATGAGTAACTGACGTACTTACTGACTGACTGACTGACTGGGCTGACTGACATCAACACCAGCAGCAACATTTGGCATGTTGTAGCTCATGTTGCTTTGTCGTGCTCTGCCGTTTTGTGTGTTCGTGTGTTTATGTGTGTGTGTGTGTGCTTTTTTACACCATGATTTGGTGAAATGGACAAAAACAAAAACACAAAAATTGTCGACCCACAGACATGCCGACAATTGCAGGCGAAATGCTCGTAGATAAGCGATATGCGGTTGGCACTCGAATGTGTAATGTTTTTCATTTTTTGTTTTTGCTTTTTGTCTTCGCTCGCTCGCTAGCTCTTTCTTTCTGGTTATGTTTTTACGAGTACGGTGCCTACACGTGTGTTCGTCGTAATTTGTTAAACGGTTTTTTTCGAGTTCATTGAACAGGTTGTTTTGGTTTGACTTGGTCGACTTGGTCTGGTTCGGTTCGGTTCGGTTTGTCGCACTGACATTGGGCCCATGTGTGGGTGGGCAATAAATCTTTGTGGCTTTAATTCGTTCGTCACCTGGTGACGGACGCAAGCCAACTGATGAGGCACAAAATTATTCGTTTAAGTGCCGTTCTGCTCAAGGACGTGAGCTTTTCTATTCAGGTACTATGTATGTAGGTGTTGACATAATGGGGTCGTGGTATTGGGGGCACAAGCAAGCTCTTAACGCGTTTTCAAATGTAACTGACTTACACTGTGTGAATGCATTTTGAAGTGACACTTTTGGCCTTAATTGCTAAATTTATTTATTTATTTTTTGTATCCAAATTGTTGCGAATGAAGAAAACAAAGTAAAGGGTATGGTGTATACCTGATGAGGCATAAGTATTTAATAATTAAATATTATGAGTTTTTGATGCGTCTGAGACTAAAATTAAACCAAATCAGCACCCGTTCCTTTGAAGCTATGGTATTTGATATACAATGTTTGGGAATACTATCCAAGTGTGCAACATGCTAGAAATCAATCAAAAGTTAAATATACAGCTTATATGTATGTGGGTAGCAGTATTATCCCTTTCCATAAATAATGTTCGCAGCTAAAGAATAAGGAATGAAATTCCGCTTGATATTATTCATTTGCAGATAATAGAGACATTCTATTTTTGGCACTTAATTCATTTAAGTAAATTAACAAATGGGTTCGAGGGTCCTAGTTGTAACATTCATCAGTAGGGTCGCAATCAAAAAAAGCATTGCAAAGCAATAGTATGTGACGACCAGCCAAGCAATTTCGTCCGTTTCCGGAATGAGTTCGCGCCGACAGTGCAGCCCCTGTGCAAAGTAGTGTACTCCGAATGTCAGTCCGAACATAACCAGTCCAACAGCAACATAAACAGTTATATGCCCATGATGGGGTATGGCACAGCCTAGCCCGAACACTAGAAGTGCGGTCGCACAACAAATTATAAATGCCACCGTACAGAGTTTGGGGCCAATAAGTAAATTCGTGGGTATCCAAGCAGCTAAAAAACAGCTAATCGTGAATAATGTTAACGATTGGGCTATAGCCGAGCCAATGTGCCACACCTCCACCAGTGGAAACATGAGGTAAAATCCCTGGGAACAGAGCTCGATGTGGATTCCAACTACTATATAGCTAAGCACGGATGGCCTTTGCAGAGTCTCTGAACACCCCAACGACATGCCTACGAGAATGCCGGCTAAACAAAGTATTGTCTGGAATAAATGCATTTCTGGACCCCGATCCTTTAACAGAGCCGTCAACAAAGTCCACTGAATGCTGTTCATGATGATAAAAACCGCTGTAATAGAATAGACGCGTCGTACAAAGTTATTGTTGACCAATTTTTGTTCTTCCATTAGGATGGCTTGGGGAGGGATGTCTCGACTGCAAACACGATAAAAATGTATTTTAGTTTCCTGTTGCTGTTCCTTTTGGTTCACAAATTGATAAATTATTCAA